ACACAGTTCTGTACGCACGCGTGATCCGCAGGGCAGCGGGACGCTGGATCAGTGTATATGCTATTTTGGTTGGCCATTTTGTGAAGGGGCAGGTAATCCATGGCCAAAATTTGACGTGCTGATGCAAGACTGTCCAGCGGCACATCTTTTGCTTCCGGTGTGATGGTGTTCTCAAACAACTGTGAGGGCGCCGAACCATACGTAACAGCAGGATATCCGAGCAGTTCCAAAGTGTATGTGGAAATGTTGATGACAGAGACAACTCCAGTTACAAAACAATTTTCCTGATTTATTGTATAAATTATGCTTACAAAAAACAGTATCTTCTGTCTGAAAACGGGATGATGTGAACATCCAGATGATGGTGGATGGCTGGACAATTGGACAACTGGATGGCCCCGGGGCACAGTCGTGTAATAGTTTGTGTTGAGAGATATGTCTCGTTTAAACATCAGAGAGACAGAATATTTTCACTATGGAAGATGCCACAAAGTATGAAACTCTGGTGGAGAAGTTCTCCGTGTCCTTGAATTGGTCATTTTTATAAACTTTTTTGGGTCTGAGATCAATCATTTTGATTGGTCGATCCTCCTCACCTCCACTTTCTAATTGGTCTTCACTCGTTACCTAGTGTAATAACGAGATTGAAACCCAGATTGCAGGATGAGTCAACATTGTTTGTCCATACTATCCCAATCGAAGATGGTCGATCTTGGGACTTATGTCATTCTATTGTTTTAATTTGAGAAGTTCACTTTTCTAAGAATTACTTTTAAACATGCCCTTTTATGAACATAAAAATTTATCTTTCTTCTCTTATCAGTTTTACAAAATAAAAAAAATCTTTCTCATTTAAAAAAAAATTTTTTTTATGAATATGGTTCTGGTTCACTTCCAGAGCCTCATACAACTGTATTCCAGAAGTTTGTTTTCCATTCTGCATGAGAAACTGCTCACTTTTGTTTCTATATATATAACACAGGTGCAGAAGAACAGCTACTAAAAACTGTCGCATCTCTCCAATCTGACAGGCAGCCAAGGCTACACTTGATGCAATTGCACTACTAAGTGTGCAACAAATAGCTGCAAATGTGAAAATAACAAATGACAATTCGAAATGTCATAAAAGTTCATCTTGACATAACAAGTGATGGTAGAGATTGATAATTTACTATGATTAATAAGCATAACACAGTATTAATTATAAATTATCAAATTTAATTATCAATATAAAATATGAAATTAAACAGACCCACCAAAATCTGCTCATAACTTTTTCTTCCAACTTTGACTGACTGCCCCATGCCATTTCGCAAACTGGCCGGCCAAATCCCAAAATCAAGAAAAGATCAGACATTGGCCAGTCAATTTACAGCAACTTTGGCCAATTTCGAGCTTCAGTCATAACATATATATGATGAAGGAATAAGAGTTGCTTAATATTACATAATGTGATAATATTTAAATATAAATAATAACAACTCAAAGCCCGAGAAATATAGAATAAATCACCAAACGATTGCCTTAATATCGGGCTATAATATGGCTAATTAAATGATTAGTATAAAGTAATTTGACAATAGAGGTAGACGTTAGATGCCATCTCTTAAGTAAATTAATAATTATAAATAAATTATTAAATAAATTTAGAACCTTCTGGAATAAAAAAAACTGGCCCGGGACGGGGCTTGAACCCGCAACCTCTGCTTGCTGTGCGGTGCGCTTGCCAGTTACGCCACCCGGACCCCGAGCTACTCTTCGCTTTTGAACCCGCAACCTCCACTTGCCGAGCGGTGCGCTTGCCAGTCGCTCGGGGTCCGGGTCCGGGGTTGGGAAGAGAACAAATGCGGAAAGACGCAAGAATGTAGGTTGAGGTGGTTTGGTCACATAGAGCAAAGAAGTGACAACTATGTTAGAAAGAAGATTGGAAAACTGGTAGTAAAAGGAAAGAGGAAGAGGAAGACCAAAGATGGATTAGAAAGATAAGGTGGAAGAAGACTTGAATTACAGGGGACTTAAGAGAGAAAAAGCCCTTGATAGGGAGAAATGGAAAAAACATATTAGAGAAGGAAACGTTGACCCCATATAAACATGGGAAAAGATGAAGATAAAGAAGAAATATTACTAGAATATAAATAATGCAATGTATACCAAACTGCAGTTTGTAGATGATACATTTTGTTTGTCTTCCATCCAACAGGATACTCCACAACAGAAACAAGCTTAAACAATGGTGATCCAAACGATCCAAATGGTGCAAAGTCTGTAAGTAGCCTATCATATTTCTTGCAGGGGTGCACAACCTGCAGCCCGTGGGCCACATACAGCCCCTTATCAATGTTTATGCGGCCCGGGACGGTACAGGCCAAATCCCAGTGTAGAACTTTTCCCTTTCACAAAGTCATTAGCATCCAACTGTTTTCTAACTTTCCCTGAAGTGAGAAATGGGAGGTTGTTCTATAAATAAGTCTATTTCTAGCTAACACTTTCTGGTTTAGATATCGAATATTCTAAGTCTAATACATAGTATTATAACAATTTTTTGAAGAATCAAATAAAATAAAATGATGTTAGAACGTCATTTCCGATGTTATCAGGAAGTTTCTATTTTGGCGGGAAATCTTCAATTTTATGCTTCGGAAAACTTGCTTATTCGTCTAAATAGCGTCAAATAACAAAAATAAATGAAAATAGCGCTGAAAAACTATGAAAATAACGATTTTTTATGATTTGTTTACATTCTAGATTCTGATTGGTATTGTCGAATTTGAATCAATCTTTTCTGAAAAGACGCTTATTCGTC